AAGCAGATGGCACCCGGTAAACGTCTCTTCAAAATCCCAACTTGGGACAAGAAAGCTGGCATTCGAGAAATCGTGATTGGAAGGGTCGGCTGAGCGATTGTTATGCATACGAAGCAGGTGGGAATTAAGAAACACAATAACAAAAATGTGGGCGAAGCGCAACAGATACATCCTGGTATAAAGACCAGGGGGTGGCATGTACGCTTTATCATAGACGCCTCACGACAAACGTCCCACCCGACATCGGTGGGGTTTCCACTGACGTTTCGAACCGACTGGCTTCCGACCCAGTGGTAGGAGGTGTGGTTACTGACAGTAACTTAGTTCCATTCCCCTGATTGGTGACAAAAAGCTATGAAGTGGAGGTATACTACTGACAAACAGAGGGAACTCATGGACCCGAAAACAGGAGGAATATGCGGAAATTAATGGGAGTGGCGCAACCACTTTCGAATCGTACTTGTTGTACACAGACTTGGGGTCTTCCGGTTGTGTGCTGTCTTCATTCACCTTGTCCATTATCCTCGACTGCCAACCGACCCACAGGTAGCAACAGAAACGTGGATCGTCCGAGGGTTCTTGAAAAGTGATGGACGCAACCGCAGCAGTGCTGGGCAACTGCCGTAGGGAGAACCTAAATAAGAGGTAGCATGGAAGGGGAGTGGTGTTCAACATCAAACAAATTGATTTTGACATCCAGAATTCTGTGCCAGTGGACACTATCATAGATGAGACATCTATACAATGTCTACGTCGACTAGAAACCTAGTGAACACTTGGTGCCTACGAAAAATCACGAAAGCGCTCAAATGGCACCCGGCTGAATGGAAATTTGGTGATAATACCGCAATCATGTTACGTGGTTCCAAGGTCGATAGGGAACTGCATATGGTCATATCTATGAAGGCTGATTTATGGCCACGGGAGCCAAACACCAGGCAAAGCCGATAAGATTAGGAGCGAAATCTGATTTGCGAATAAACATACTTACGGAGTGAGATCATGCCGCAGTCAGACGAAAACCTAAACCTATAATCCCATGAATTTGAAACACGGGCACGTGATGCCTCCCCACTGAATGCGAAGATGCATCTTCCCGTTCGGTACATCCTTATTCCGATTCAACAAGGTCTCGCAGGAAAAGACAGAACAAGGCCTACAAACACGAAGATGTTAACTGGGATGACAGAAGTGAAGTGTTTTTGTCTTTTTGCGAGGATAGATATCCGTTCAGCTGTAGCTGAACCCTTTTGGTGCCTAATCGGGGTAGATGCACAGTTATCTAAATCACCTCCCCAAATCATCGGTGAACGAATGTGACAGCTACAACCACTGAAAGACAAGTATGCGGTTCCTACAGCTGACTATGATGATGATGATGCCGAACTACCATGCCACCCAAAGGTTGCACGAGGGCTGGGATCCTGAAAGGTTGCTTAAGTCAAGACAGGGAAAGTCGAGAGGCAGAGGTCGGGTTCGAACCACGGACCTTCCGGGTAGTGAATTCGCGCTCTAACCACTTGGGCTATCTTGGTCATAGATATCCTGAACTTAACTTCAGGACGCTCACAAGCTAGAACGATCAAGGAAACCTGTGAAGCCCATTGACAATATGCACAGCCAATTTGCCTAGCGATGCTCTGCCGTGAGGAATTAGCTTTGCTATAATACGCCAATAATTTGATACTACTGGGTTCCACAGTGCTAAAAAAGATAATATCTGGGTTGCATGTCGCCTGTACGACCGAACACTGGGAGATGACCCCAAGGTTCCGATGAAAGATTGTGTGACAACATAGCTCGGGAAGGCTGACATGACTGCAAGCAGTTTATTTGGTAGAGTTCACTGCCCTGGTTTTGCAGTATGCTAGGGACAATCAGGTATCCCACATAGCTTGAAATGAGTCTAAACGGTCCGGCGGAGTGCAAGAGCCATCCCAAGTTGTCCGGAGTGTGATGCTCCAAGACAGGACGATAAGCTAATAACCAACTTGCTACGGCAACTTATCCATCAATACTTACACAGAGATGATGTTTGAAACTGGAATAAACAGTGAATATACACTCATCCGCAAACTAATTTGGTCCTTTCGAGAGACTCACCGGGAACCCAGCTGAATATCTCGCTTAAGGCCTGAGAACATCATAAACGAGAGATTCAGCTGGGTTCCAGGTGAGTCTCTCGAAAGAACCAAATTAGTTTGCAGATGAGTGTATATTCACTAATTTCGTGCAATTTGGTTTCAAGTAGAACATAAGGTTGACGGAAACCCGGGGACTGCGCCTACCTGATGAGCCCCAAGAAGGGCGAAACCGGTCGTGGGCTGTCGATGGATTTTCAGCAACCTTATGAGTAGTACATTATAAATATATGGAATAAACAGTGTTTGACGAAATTTAGTCTATCAATGAATGAAGAACTGTTGTGTCGTGTGTTTATCCATAAGGAAAAATTAACAAACATCTATAGAAACCGGAGTAAAAAAGAGCACAGAGGGAACTTACTCCAAACACATAGTGCTTAGCGACCATAATTGCCAACCTCCGAAACTGAAACCGACAGCCAAAGTCTGTGTGTTTGGTATGTAACGCAGGGTTGAAACATACACACTAGCTGGAAACGGAACAAACAAAATAGTGACGTCAGAAAGTTAGCAAACCAATTACAAGATATGAATAGGGTAGTATTGTTGTTTGTCACATCCCTGTGACATAGATAGGCTACAGATGGTTTCTATCTATCATTTGAGTCAAACTCAAGCGAGCAGTGGTTCCCAACAGGTTGAAAATATCAAGGGGTAGATGCTACTAACAAAACACGAGTAGTCCAGAAACGATTAGTGAGCCTCACACTTGAGGAGCCGGTCAACAAGCGATCACTTGGTGCGAATTCCGCGATTAAAGGAGGAGTGGTGCTATATGCTGTCTAGGCGCGAGTTAATCACACAGCTAATCAGCCAATCATAGTCGGAAGGTTCAGTCTCCAACTACCACTGCGGGAGGTCACAGGTCTGAATGGCCCTTGAGATCAGTGAGCTGCGAACTACTTATGATTCCCAATAGGGATGAAATAGATGTACATCGCCTCTCGGTCCTTCGGCACAAGTTGAATTCACTTATAACTGGAAACTTAGATTGAAATTTCTTAAACTCTTCATACTACTGCCAAGTATAAAGCGCGCTCAAATCGGACTTGCGATATCCCGAACCACCCGCAGGATCATGAAGATTGCGAAAGATGGTAACCTTGTTCTGTGGATGCGTTTGAGAGTCAGAAAAAAGCATCGTTCAATTGTAGCACGCTTCCGGTGCCAAGCTGCCGTGGCACACGAAAGAGGCACGAGGGCTGGGATACTGCCAGCCTACCCAAGCCAAGACAGGGGAAGTCGAGAGGTAGAGGTCAGCCTCGAAACACGGACCTTCCGGTCAGTAAATTCGCGCTCTAACCACTTGGTCCAACAGTTTGGGATAGAGGCTGGTGGGGGGAACCGAATCCCATATAAAAGTCTTGAGCAAGCGCAGACGTGCATGAATATCGAAACTAGCCTTCAAATGCCTATGCTTGTTACACGGCTTTGGTCATAACGTTGTAGCATTTTTTAAAAACGCGATAAGCGAGCAGTGGAACCAAAGGGTGAATGGAACCGACCGCAAAAAGCAGACGGCTAAGGTTGAATGGGATAGAAAACGCTAGACATATAGCAGGAGAAACAGAAAAAGCAACGGATTTTTATGGAGCTAGATTTGATGTGAAGAGGCCAGCCGAGATTGATGGACATTGTTCAACGGGCGAGACATGATTACTACCGATAAGTGTGATTCCGGTTAATGTTTGGTTGGCATGGATCTGAGACATCGAACTGCGACGATCAAACCCACCGCAAACTAAGTAGCGCCTTATTCAGTTCACGCTGAACCACGTGTGCAGCTGTCTGAACGCCCGGTACAAATCCGGGAGGGGGGAAGGGCGATAAGACCCGAAAGTGAACTTTAAGGGGCAGTTCTAAAGTCGTTAACTGATGGATCATAGTTTTCGAGTCCAGTGAGACCAACTGGGCAGTTGGGACCGACAGTGTAGACAAAAGGCTTCTTGGTGACCTGAACCATTTGAAAGAAGCAACTAGGGGAGTACACGACTGCATACTGCCAGTCAATAACCGATTCCGTCTGCACAACGATGATCACAAGGAGATCACTTTTAACACCGTCGTAGGCTCAACACCTCGGAATGTATAGAACGCCAGGAGGGGTCGAGCACATGTGCATGTAGTGACAACTACAAGATAACTTGGAGATCCAAATCAGGGGTTTGAAGGGGCGAAGCAAATAATACTCCTATAGGTTCGTTTGAATACAGGAGGAGACGAAACCTCATCGGGTATCTCGGTTTTCCGTGAGCGAAGACAGGCCCCGCAATTGTTTTGCAATTCAACGGGACGCTGAAAACAAAACTCGTAACAGGCCAGCAAGAAAATATGGCCCTGGTGCGTCGGTTACACAGTGAAAGCAGACAAAGCAATCAGTGCGCGATAACTTACCGGCAGGAATCGCACGCAAAACTTTACCGCTGACGGACTTGTACTGAAATTCGTTCCAACGAACAACCGATGCTGCCAACAGAAAAGCAGGAGAAATAACCAAGGTAACAAAGTTATGAAAAAAACGAGTAATAAATCTCTTTCAAAAGTTATCATCATCATCATCATTGTCAGCTGTAATAACCACGTACTCGTCGTACAGTGGTTGTAGCTGCCGCAGTTTCGTTCAATGATGATTTGGGGGGGTGGGGGTAGGTAGCTGCGCATTGGAGGCGGGAGATGATAAATTGGTGCATAAACCCAGCATTGTCAGTGGGCTGTCAAGTGGGGGGGGTTGGAAGCTATGTGTTGAAGGCCATAGCTTGGATGCACGAGCGCCATTGAGGGCGCGGCTGGGTCATGTCTGACAATGTCTCTAACCATTGATGTGGACCATCTCGGGGTCCCCATTCAGGAAGACGGCAGTGACCAGCGCAGCTGAGTTTGCTGGTACCAGCTTTAACATTTCGCTGCCGCCTCAACAGTTAACTCTTTAAAGACTCCTTACAACCACATCCTCAGGTTTTGCACTGAAAGTAAAGTGGAAATTTTCCGGAAGAATAAACTCCCGTGAGAAATCACCACCCCCTATCCTCATAGAGAAGTTTGAACATCCCCGTAACAGCCGGTCGCTTGTCTAGTCCAATTCCATTGACCACCAAGAGAGGAAGGTGTCTGCACCCGGAAAAATGTTACAATGAAGCCCGTCGGTACCGCGCGCAAACTCCTGGCAATTATATAGGAAAGAGGTCACGATTGGAAATCGCAGGTAAAACCTCGCAGACACTGAAAATGTGGGGCACAGCGGTCAGAACGAACATACTACCAATGGGGCTCGTTCGGAAGACATGTTCCAACGAGCTGTTTTATAACCTCGTCGAAATGGATTGCTACAGTTAGAAAAGAGACAACATAGTTCGATTTATGTTGCTATTAACAAGTGCTTAGAGCGCGAATTTACTGACCGGAAGGTCCGTGGTTCGAGCCCGACCTCTGCATCTCGACTTCCCCTGTCTATGTTCGGGCGACCTGGCAGTATCCCAGCTATCGTGCTCCCTTCGGGCGGCATGGCAGCTAGGCACCGAAAGAGTGCTACAACTGAACGGTTTTTATGTTTTATCAACAAAAATGTGGTACCTTTGGCGATAAGGGGTTGGCGTAGGGGCAGAAAACTAGACAAGGACTGATGTAGTGATGCGTATTGAGCATCACATCAGAAAAATACGCATCAGTGACACAGTTATCATGCTATTAAAAGCGGCCGTTAAAACGCTGGGCGGTATCCTTAGCTGGGTTGTCAAGAATATCAAAGGATAACAGTGAACCTCCCACTCCTCACTCACAAACGATGGTTGAAGAGGATTCCACCTTCAAAGGTTACGGTTATCGACGTTGACTTCGAGCATTACCGCACATTATTTCAAAGGAGATCCTTGTGGCCAACGACCGAAAAGCCATAGAACTCATCAACTGATGTGTTTGAAGGATGAGCGATAATTGCAAGTTAAACACGCGACTAAACGGTCGGTCATGGCTAGATGCATAGTGTTCGACTACCAAACGGAAGATGACGCGTTCAAACATAGGAGTTCGCGAGATGCATGCTGGTGAAGACTCCCAGGTGAAACTCCTATAAAATTTTTTGGCCTTTGGACATGAACTGAATTCTTATACGGAGTGGAACCCCCATGAGGTCTTCCTAATGCGCTCCGACCATAAAATACAAAACTGTCCAGAAAATGAGAAATCCCGCAAGCCGCATGGTTCTTTTTTCAAGAAGTCATCACTCACGAAGCCGGTCAACACCCGATGAAGTGAAGTAGCCTGCGTAGTTGCAGGACGGTGGCGAGTTACTCACAGTTACTAATAATCGTGACCAAACGATATAGCGTCGAAGAACTGGGGGGTCAAACCTGCGAAGTTGCTTAGAGATACACGTGATGCGCGCTGCTAGTGATTTCCAAACGGGTAAAAAAAAGCTTCACAAGGCTTCTCAGCTACTTAGAATGGATTTCCTTCACTTGCAGTAGACATTTGTGTGGCCATAACCCCATATGAGACAGGCCGTCTGAACAAATCTCAACAGCGTTGAAGACTCAAGCTGAAGAGTGAAGAACAAGAACGTTGTACTGCGGTCGAACGAGAGTGAAACCTTTGTGCCGAACTTCCATACACTGAAAAGGGCATTCACAGGTTTTCCATCTGAATGGCTTCGCCAGAATCCATATCATCGATGGACATGAAAACAGAGGTGGCACCTGTAAGCGTTTGAAATATCCCAAACAAACTGCGTTATGAAGATCCTCATGCTTCAATAGGCTTATCGTAAATAGGCACATCTAAGGGAAATCTAAGTACAGTAGTCTCGGCCCCAGCCCAATCCAAAGTAACTAAATCGATTGAAAGGACGATCGATCGACAAGCAAGTCACAAGACAACAGGAGTAAGGGAGCTGTGTTTTCCAGCCCCCATAGGGTTATACGTGCTTTACAGGCGGGATTGTAGGACGTGTTTTCGATAGTTTAGGAATGACGTTGAGTTATGCAAGCTTGAACTTCTCCAGAGTTGAGAAGGGCCACCCCAATGTTTCTTGATACACTGTCTTGAACTATGCACCATAACTGATAATAGTTAGCAAGAATAACTCGCAAACGTTCGATTAGCCTGTTCTGTCCTGCTGCCAAGCGAAACCCCGCTTTTGCTGGCGAAGACAAACAGAGCCATGGAAATGCCGTCAGTGAACTTATTATGTTGTCTTGGTTAACCCACAGGCCGAATTTCCCCTATCGTGTCCTGATGTGTTTTGAAAGAGCAGTATTTGGTCTATTCGGTATGGGGCACGGAGGAAATTGCCAACCACCACCCCGTGCTTGTTGTGTTCAGGCTTTAGTGGACGCTTGGACACCGAGTACTTTCGACTGGATTATCAGCTGGCTTTGCTACCACCGCTTGACAAAAGTACTCTCATCATCATCATCATCGACCACATCGACAGCATGACATCAGTGTTCAACACCAATGCTTCACTGCCGTACAATTGTAAATAAAAGAGTAAAGGTGGACGGGGAAGGGACTTAGTGCCTGTTTATATCTACAAATACTCACTCAGGCAATCTGGGACAGAAACTACAACAAGACCGCCACTGACATCGGTTGGCAGCCATATCTTGTAGTGTCTCCAACCAGGCACAGTGAGGATCACGCAGTCCCCATCCTGGAAGGCGAGTAGCACCGACAGCACCAAAGCGTTTCGTGATCTCCTTCATACTCCTCTGCCAGGTCATGGGTTGGCCACCTCTCTGTTTACGCCACTCCGAATTGGGCATGGAAAACA